TTTAAAAACCATCAATTGGTTACAATAATAGCAATGGTAAACAACGACTCGGTTTCTCAATTTACCTGCCGTAAATAACTAACTGGTATCCTTCAGGAATACCATTTGGCAACTTAGCAATTACGTTAGGTCGCCAAATCGGTTCGTCTTTTTGTCTTGGATGCGTTGCGCTTTCTCTCATTGGAATCTATGAAGATAAACAAAGTGTTTGAATGTTGGCGATATCTAAGGGTGTTTCGGTCAGAATAGAACTGATAATGTATCTATCTTAGATGAATAAAAGAAAAAAAATATTAAAGAAAAGAAAATCACTAAACTGTAAATGTGTGGATGAAAAAACTAAAAATGATACTTACGTCAAAAACAGGCGGACTTGTGGAGGGGTATATATCAGTCTTTTGTATCTTGAGGTCGGTGTCCCTGATGCCAGTGACCTGCAGCCAGTCAGCGACGAGCGGCGAAGGGTTGCGGTGCGCGAAGCTGCAGTAGTGCTCGCCGTCCACCGCCCAGAGCGTCTCCTTCTCGTCCACCAACACCTCGATAGTGAAGGGACGGTCTACTTTGAAAGGAAATAATCTGGAAAACAATTTAAAATCTAGAGGTACTATAGCTGACACAAACCAGATTCATTTAATACCGCTTACTGTTTATCTATTATAAATAGATTTATATACATAAATTTGCAATAAGGGTCTGCCTTAGCGACCAATTAGCAAGTCTGCGTGAGGCTGTAATACTTGTTAACAAAGTTAAACAGCTAAATAAAAAATGCATTTAACAATTAAGATAATGAATCCGTCTTTGAATCTCAGTTAAGCAATTTACATTTTTACATTTTATGGGTAGTGTTTATTACCTAAATGCGGTGGTCTCCTCTGACCCCCATTTGTCATGTCTACGTGTGTTACGCACCACGTAACTCTGTGGCAGCCGCACGTTGAAGTGTACCGCGATGTCTCCGCGAGACTCCGGATCCCCGCATCCAATGTTTATTGCGAACCTTCAATATAGACATGCTAAAGTTTATTACAAACAGAAATAGTTCTAAGTATTCCATCTTCACAACCGGTTACACTGTTTATGCTTCAAGACTGTGTTTTTGTGGCTCAGTTTCAAAAGAAAACAACGAATATTTTGCTAGATTTATCAAATGGCTAATATTAATTTTCTTATACATTGAACAATATCACTAAATTTAATACATTCGATATTATATTAAGAACCATTTCTCTGTGATCATTAGTTCGTGCAGCCTACCGCTGCGACTACAGCGCCAAACGGACTATTTCGAAACTAAGTTAACGTATCTGTGGCTTGACTTTTTACTGCGCGAGTATCTGTGGCAATGGCACGAGTAAAACACGTCGCTTTCGTGGGTCGTTGATCTATGTTTAATGGCTTGTGCATTTGGCGTTCAATAATATTGTACAATTTTAATAATTGCACAATAACATTAATTGACGTGTTCGTTTATTGTGAATATAAGACATTTATTTGAGTTCGAATTATATTCTTTAATATGGACACAGTGCAGGAGAGTTTGATATTTAAATATAGTGCAAGTTAACTATCATACATTCAATTCTTGTTCGAGATCCCGTTAATCGTGGCATAAGTCGCGGGTAAACAAAATTGTACATATTTGCGCAAAAATATTTGTTAGCGGTTTCAGAATCCGCGGCTCATTTAAAAGTGTTCTTGATTAATTTGTATTCGAAGATTTTGCGTACTTCATTAGTGACAATAAAATGTCATGCAAAGGAAATAAGGGAATGCAGGAGGAAAGAAAATTCTTATCGGAATTTATCGATGTATACAAAAGTCTGCCGGCTCTATGGGATTCAAAAAGTAAAACATATTACGATAGACAAAGAAAGGCCGAAGCCTATGAAATTTTACTTAATAAATACAAAGAAAGGTATCCTGATGCGACGAGAGAAGATGTGACGAAAAAAATAAATGCTTTCAGATCGAATTATCGTAACGGACTAAGAAAATACTACGCAGCGTTGAAATCAGCCAAGAACAAGGATTTGGTACGAAAGCCGTCGCTGTGGTATTTTGAAAAGTTCAGTTTTTTAAAATTGAATTTCGGAAATCTGAACATCAAAACGCATGAAAGTAATGCTGATGATACAGATAATAATTCTAGAAACTTCAATGTTAACGACATAGAAATATATGTAAGCACATTTGTTAAATATTGTACAACTATTAGCTTAAATTAAGGGTCAGTTGTTGCAATTATTCGGTTAAGTCGAATTTTTACTTTTAATTTACAATCTCTTTGATAAATTTCGGAACCCATCTTTGAACTTTCATTACATTAAACTCTTCCTGTTACACACACGCACATATACATAATACACGCACACATTTAAAATAAAGTACTCTCAGCAGTTGCGTCGACTTCCTTTATTCTCTTGGAATATTGAAGTGTGGAAATGTGTTTTTTCCTATAGAATTATCTAGTGTTTTTTTTTAGGTGGAAAAAAGCGATTCAATGATGACGGACGGAATTGAGGATAATAGTCTTGGAAGTTCCGGAATTTCCATAAAACAAGAGTTTGGAAGAAAAAATTATCATAACAGTGGAGATTATAATGAAAATGATTATTACGCTGAAGGTGAAAAGGAGGAACCGAATGTCCAATCTGTCAGCGATCGAGGCGACGAATATTATCACTGGGCTATGGCTCTTGCTGGGGATATACGGAAAATGGAAAAAACTCAGCAAATCTATGCCAAAAAAGCGATAGCTGAAATTGTAATGGAAGGGCGATTGGGATTGTTACATCGTAATTCAATAAAAATAAACGAAGATCCACTTTAGAACATAATTTTAACTCCAATGCATTTATCTTCATATACAGCCATAAAGCAGTTTACTTGTGGGTATTGCTCGAATGATTAAGACCGGCTTTAAAGTAAAGCGCGGGTGGCCCAGGGGGCTGGACAGAAGGGGACGCCGTAGAAATCTCTCCCAGGGCGTAACACTAAAACTGATAGCGCGAATGACTGATTTTTCGGGTCTGATATATTTGTACTGAATTCATTCCATTTTGCTCCTCCAGTTATATATACAGCAACCTATTTGAAGAGCAAAAAAGTGAAGTGTCACAGTGAAGGGGTACATAATTTTTTTAAATAAAGATTTTTTATAGTCAATCTTATTCTTAACCGCTACCATCATTAATCACAACAAACTAGGACCTTATACATACAATATACATAATGTTAATTTAATAGTATAATAAATATTTATTTTCCATCTATACGCTAAAAGGCGTGACTTAGTGCTTGTCAAATAGACACACATGGTACATAACATTATTTTGCTAATGTTACTATGATGTTTGTCTCAAGAATTATTTATTACGCGATTCGCTGCTCGTTTGCTCCCTTCTACTATATTTAAACTCTATTAAATACACTTAACATAAAACTAACATGCCTCTCTCGGTTTCCATTGCTAATATATGGGCAAACAGCCCTTTCATAAA